AGGGCGCCGTATTAGCGCCGTAAAAGCGCAAAGAACGTCGTAGAAGCGCGATCTGAACGAAGACAATCGTCAATTAAAACGCCGTGGAAGCTCTGTTGCATCGCCATGATTGCCGTGGGGACGCCGTGAAGACTCCATGAAGTCTTCGTGTCATCAAAAATATTTAATTTTTCATTGCGATCTCGCGGCACTTTGTTAAATTTTACAACGCCGTGCAAACGCAGTGAAAGCGCAGTCTGGTGTGACAGGGCCTTAACCATGGACGTAACAATGTTGAATTGTTAAGCAAAAGTCAAATTAGTCTCCTCAGAAGTGGTGTGTAACGTTGATCATTTTAAAAGCAAAACGACGTATGCCAGTGTCAATTTATGTTTCATTGACATAATACTTTAGGATGTATGCTTTCAACTTTATTTCAACTTTATTATAATCTCAATTTCTTTGTTGAAGGAATTTTTGATCAACTATAAAATTATTGTTTTACCGAAAAAATGGTTAATGTGATGCTTCTAAAGAAGTCGTATTTGAATATATGTATGGACAGATAATGAGATTGACAAACGTTTTAATTTCAGAGGTATGCAATGACTATAATGATTTTTTAATTTTGTCATTGATAAAATTTTGTTGTTTTTGTATTGTTAGAAAATGTTTAACGTATACGAATGTCTCTTTTATTTTAAAAAGTGCGTAAACAGAATTAGATGTTCGGTTTCATCGGTTTCGATAGAGATTTAACCTAAAGTTTTAAAAATGAATTTCGGAGTACGCTATTACATCAAGAAAAAAATTCATACAAGTATTTAGGAATTATTCTAAGTATATGAAAATGAAAACAATACATTCTTAATTTACAGACACCACAAATTTAATTTATACACTTTAACGTGAACTGGTCATTGATTGACGATATTTGTTATGAAGTTATGTTTATAGTATTTCGTATCATACGTGAGGGCAAATTACGAACGAGTTAAAAAGTAATTGCGAGATACATGATCTTTTCAGACATGTCTACATTTAGCGGCTAATTGTTCTAGAATCATATTTTATTATTCATAGTAATTTCTTTTTATCATATATTTTTAAAGGATTTTTTTTAATAATATCCGAATGATATACTTTGTTTGATGAAAATGTATAAACATATTTTTTTTATTTTATTTAGCTGAAATGACTTTTATGTAACATATGTTCCCAACATAAAATGTCTCAAACATTTATAATTTGTCCCAAATGTGTCTTATATATATATATATATATATATATATATATATATATATATATATATATATATATATATATATATATATATATATATATATATATATATACATATACATATATATATATATATACGGTTAACGTCAAGTTATAGAACGAAAACTTGAATGTCGTTAATCACACAGTGTACTACATGAATAATTTTCTGGAAATGTCTGGCACTTTTATTTCACTAATCATCTTATTTTGATGTATTTTATTTCATTGCAGTGGCTTTTGATTGCAAGTCATGCTAGGGTATTACTAAATAGGGTCTTTGATTCTACATTTTGAAAGTTGCCAAACCTTCCTGAGAAATGTCATCAGCTTTATGACAAACTGTAATAGTAGTGACGTATGAATATTACTATGGAATACCGTTAGGGCTATCGTAGTTATACTTTATAATCCAGAGGGCAACAATAAGACAGTGCGATAGAACAACGACGACAATACAACAGTGAATTAATCTTGAAGAGCACATCTATCTTGCTACATATCCATTAAATCGAATATCCAACTACCAATACCTACCAATTTTTCGCTCCGTGTACTATACACCGTTATTTTTTATCAATATATAAGATGGGGCATTTTTTGGTACTTGGTAAACCGAGCGCCCGAACTATTTCTAAAAGACAGTAAATAAATATGATGAGATAAACAAACATTGCTATACTAGATTCTGTGTCCACATGTTTTATATATATACAATGTAGTTTTCAAAACAGCTTAAAACTTGCGACGTAAAAGAAAGAAATATTTTGTTACAAGTATCAAACAAATTACAACGCATTCACTGTTTAAAAGTAGCGTTGGCTTATAGAATTGTCAACACAAGTACGCGGATGAATATGATTTCAATCAATTAAAATGCTATTTTAGCGATGTCTGGATATACAGGAAAAAACATACAGATATACAGTACGATTGCGATAGCAACGATCAGAAAATACCACAGAGCTTGCAGCCCTTTGATTATTACTTGGGGACAATACTCCGCCTTTCATGGAATGGCACTTCTGTGTCACATTGAAGGTTCCATGATACCCGCGGTTTGAAGACATCTGCGGATGTTTCTAAATTCAAATTTTCACCCTTTCATGTTAAGATGCTGAATTCTGCTTTAGACGGTGCCAGGGGACGTAGACGGTAGTTTGCACTTGACATTACCGTCCATAAACAAGGTCAATCAAACCAAGTCTGCAACATTTTCAAGTTTGACGTGTTTGGCCTTTAGGGATGACTATTTCCGTGCTTTCATAACGCGCCGATTAATACGTGCAAATTCATTTTTCTTCTTACAACTGAAGACTATTATTGACTGATCGAAAAAAAATATCTGGAAACAAAGTGATCCACCGGAAGCAGTAATCACAACAAAATTACATGAACATTGCAGACTCGGTTTGATTGAGTCTATACATGAGGGATAATAAATAAGTGCAACATCCCTCACGCCCCTTTATATTATAGCACAGAAAACAATAATATAAGGTAGTTAAAATCGGAAAATGTACATTATATACTTTTATCAAGTAAATTATTAATTGTGAAACGGGTGCCCTTTTGATTAACTATACTCACAACTATTCACAGTTAATTGGCGATAGTCGGTGTCACGCGTTATACAAACATATGAACACCGGGTCAAGTAAAGGCCAATGGTTTAATTTACGATCTTGATAGAAATTTGAAAGTAAAAAAAAATACAATATTTCTTCTGTTTTGTTCCTATTCGTTTTTCAATGTTCGATTTCGAATATTCAAATATATTTCCCGGCCCTAAATTAATTCTTTAATCAATCGTTGCTTACATTTTCAATATGTATAACGAATCAACGAAATAACATGACAAGGGATCCACCGCAAACATACTTCCTTTCCTTGTTGGCTTTGTTTATCATATTTTACAGAAAAAAATTATTCATATTATTGACGGGAAATATAGGGGCAGGGGACATATTCGAAGGATGTCCCCGGTCATTTATTTAATAACTCAGACATAGTGTTTTGAAGGTACTGGGAACTTCTGATATTTCTCTGTCATTGTAATTCTTTTTTGTCTGTGTGTAGGAAATAAGCAGTATTTTTGTTGGTTTTTTACCCGAAACTAAGCATTTTGGTAGCTTTGTATGTATTTGTGACTCTCCGAATGGGGGGAAAATTAAAAATCAAGCTTTGACAATTGGCGCCAAACAAGAAAGAAATACCGGATAAATTTTGTGAAAAATCTAAACGCATGGCAGACACTTTATTGGTCATTTTTTGAAAATGCCATAGCTTGCACTGCGTGTATGTGATATTTTTAAAGGAATTGGACGGATTCTGGAGTATGCTGCACCTTCATGAAGATTGCCCATATTGGTATATTTTAGGTGTGATTTTGACTGAGTGGGGGTAAATATAAATTGCTGTCAGTCATTTTGTTAAGGATCAATGCATGCAAACTATAATTTTCTTCATTGTATGTCATAAATCATTGAATAATGCTGTGCAACTGGTTTTCTGTCTGTGAAACAGATTTTGAATTATTTTGAATTGTGTTTCTAGTCACACTGAATTACAAAAGTGTTCATTTTTAGGTCCCTTGCCCCCTATTGTTTTGATTTAATGCAAATGATGAGTACTCTTTAAGGGGCGGTAATTTTTCAATTTTCGCTTCAACTAGAACATTTCCTTCTTTAATTGAGGTTAGTATCTTAAACAAATGATAATTTCGCGCAGGATTGATTCCGTATGATTTGATGATGGGCCACTTAATTCTTACACTCCTGCCAATCCTGGTATATTTGTGGAGCAAAACACACTTTGCCATGGCAAATGCAAGTTTTCTATGCATTTTTACAAAAAAAGTATTAAAGATAGAAATACAAAACAAATTAACTTTTAAACCTTTCAGTAAATATGACAATTTAAGATAGTTTTCATTTCTTAAAGCGCGTAAAAATAGGGGTTGAATTTGCCAAAAACTGACGCGGCGAAAAGAAACCGGCACCTATTTATATTAAAAATTTCTATATATTATGAATTGTCTTATATCTAAATGATAATCGAAACATTTCAAATACTGTATGTACTTGGAAATGCTCCATGTCTTTATACCAAATTATAAAGATGAAAATATAACATGATGATATTCCGTATAGTTACAATTACTGTCTTTTTAGAAATCAAACACAAAATATTTGCTGTTTTATAAGTTATTAGTACTAGTGAAATTCTTTGTATTTGGATTGATGACGGAATTATTGAAAAGACAGTCGAATTGTATATGCCAATTTTATGGGTAAATTTTTGTTGTTGCCTGTAATGATATATACTTAATTAAACATGCATTATACGTTTACGTCTATAATTCTTTTGTCCAAGTAGTATATACTAATGGCTAAGTAAATCTTGAAATAACTATCGACGTCCATTAGCATGATCAGCATGTACAAATAAAGGTTTCTATTTGTTTTCGTTGACAGACGTTTACACAGCTTGATTAAATGGAAATACTTTATTAACACAGTGTGATATATTTTCAAGAGAAATTCGCCCAATATGATTCACGTGAGTGACAAATATTGTGATGTTTTTAACAAACAAAAAATAGTATCAGAAAGGGCAGCTAAAGGTGAAAAGTTTACAAATAATTTATCTAGTGAAAAACAAAAAGAAAGAAAAACAACTTAGTATTCTTTGGCACATTTTGACGTCAATTATACAAACCAAATTTGTAGCTTGAAAATTTCTACGGGAGGATATAAACATATTTGAATCACTTTTATATGGTTTTACCAGAAGAATTCATAATTTTTAAGCTTTTACTTGTATTTTTAACTGGAATCAGTGTCATCCAGACGCTTTAATAAATTTCAATCAGCTGATAGACTGTGTTAGCGAGAAGCTTATTATCGGATAGATGACAAAGCATTTAAGATACACTGACTTTTGTAAACAATATGGCAACACCGACAAACTCTATAAAACTATTTATTTTATGTGTGATTTTAACAGATGTAAGCCACATATCACAGACGACAAGGTATTTCTTTAACTCAGATCATGCTACTAGCTCCAGATTTGAAAATCAATTCGCTATTAACCAAAGAAAATTAGATTATTCCTGTACTGGAGCTGAACAACTCAAATGTAACTGGACTTTTCAGGGATTTCAAACAAATGCCCTACATCAACTATTCTACCACACCCAGTATACAAGGAGAAATCTAGCAATACCAATTGACTTTCGTTTTTGTGTAAAAATATTGATAATTCAGCTTTCTGGAGACATTGCCCTTAACCCAGGGCCCATTAAATTTCCCTGTGGAGGCTGCTACAGGCCTGTAGCTTCAAACCACCGTGCAGTGTACTGCGAGGCATGCTACTTATGGTGGCACATCAAATGTGCTACTATCTCAGCAAGTGAATACGTCAAACTAAGTAACGACGACGAACCATGGTTGTGCAGAAATTGTAACACGTTTCATTTTAGTGACTCATATTTCGAACCGAACATCAGCTTAGACTCTTCAATTCAATCGGATTGTGAAGACAATGACATTCCAGCTATTTTTGATGAACTTATAAATATTAAAAAAGAAAGTCCAAATAAATTCACATGTGCATATATAAATATTAATAGTTTAAGGAACAAATTCGACTTTTTAAAAGAAATTCTTATTAAAAATATTGTTGATATTCTATTTATTGCAGAAACAAAACTAGATGGTTCTTTCCCGGATGCACAATGGCAGGTTAACGGATATCACTTATGGCGAGCAGACAGAAATGACAAAGGTGGTGGGATTGCAGTGTACTTAAGGTCAGATATAGCTGGAGATAGAAAATCAAATCTCGAATTTACAGATATAGAATCTATATTCATAGAGGTAATCTTAAATAAAAAGAAATGGCTTTTAATGGGTGCATATAAACCTCCATCTATGTCAAATGAAACTTTCGAACAAAACTGCATGACAACTCTAGATAAATGTAGTTCTAAGTATGATGAATATGTCTTACTAGGTGATTTAAATTTTGATTTACTTGATCCAACCAAATGTGCTCCTTTAAACGATATTATTGATGTTTTTAACTTATCGAGTCTAATTAAGAAGGCTACCTGCTTTACTAAAAATGGTATACCATCACTGCTGGATGTGATTTTAACTAATAGCAATTCTTCTTTTGGGAAAATATGTAATTTTAATGCGGACTGAGTGATGTACACAATCTGATTGCATTTCAGCTAAAAGATGAAACTAAAAGTAAAAAACCAAACTGGATTAATTATAGATCTTTTAAAAATTTTGACATTGAAAAATTTAATGAGGATTTACAGACTAATTTATCAAACTTAAACCAGAACACTGTAAATGTAAACGAGGCATACACAAATTTTAGCAAAACTTTTATGGAAGTCACAGACAAACACGCCCCTTTAAAACGTAAACGTTCAATGGACCAGACAGTACCATATATGAATAAAACATTAAAACAAGCTATTTATAAGAAACGCATGTTACAAAATACATATAATAAATACAAAACATCAAAGAACTGGGAAAAATACCGTAAACAAAGAAATCTTGTCACAAGTATTAAAAGAAAATCAATAAATAAATATTTTTTAGAGAGATGTGTAGGTGGATGTAAAAATAAATCATTTTGGCCTACTGTTAAACCATTTTTAACAAATAAAGGTACTATTGTAAAAAAGGACATGATTTTATGTGAAAATGATATTCTAGTAAGTGATCAGTCCCAGGTGTGTGATATTTTTAATGAATTTTATGTACATGTTGCTAAGGACATTGGTGCAGACTCAATACCAATCAACAACAATCACCCTAGCCTTAATTCTATAAGAAATAATCTTAAATCTGATAAACAACTCAATTTTCAACCTGTAAATAATTCCTTCATTAGTAAACAGATTGATAAATTATCATCTAAAAAAGCAACCGGTCAAGATGGCATATCTGCTAAACTTTTAAAATTTTCTAAACCTTCAGTCGTGGAACATATTACTAATATGGTTAATCTGAGTTTCCAGTCATCCATCTTTCCTGATAATCTTAAAATAGCTCAGGTAGTTCCGGTCCATAAGAAAATGACATTTTTGATTTTGTACACAAATGTGATCTTTATAATTATGCAGATGACAACACTTTATCATGCAGTGACACAAACATTGACAATGTTGTTGAATCTTTAGAGTCAGATAGTCAGTCACTAATACAATGGTTTTCGGACAATCATATGAAAGCAAACCCCGACAAATTCCAGGCTATTGCTATTGGTAAAAAAACTAGGGATGAAAATATTAGTTTCAATTTAAATGATAGTACAATCCAATGTGATGAATCTGTTATACTTCTAGGGGTAACTTTTGATTTTAAACTCAAATTTGATAATCATATTTCTGATATCTGTAAAAAAGCCTCAAAACAACTAAACGTGCTAAAGAGAATAGGTAAAAATTTATGTAAATTGGGGAAATTGAACATATATTACTCTTTTATACTATCAAACTTTAATTACTGCCCTGTCACCTGGCACATCTGTGGAGAAAAGTACACAAAAAAACTAGAGAAAATTCAAGAAAGAGCATTAAGATTCATTTATGATGACTATCAATCAGACTATGACTCACTTTTAATAAAATCTAAACTACCAAATTTAAAACTAAGACGAATCAGAACTATAGCCCTCGAAATTCATAAAATTATTCATAAACAAGGACCAACATACTTACATGATCTTGTTAATATAAAATCTCATTCTTTTAATTTTAGGTATAAAAATGTAGCCATTATCCCTCAGGTAAGAACCACCAGTTATGGCAGCAACTCTTTTCGTTCCTATGCACCTAAACTATGGAATTCACTTCCTCAACACCTCAGAATGGAAGTGAATTATGACCAATTTAAAAGTCTAATTGGTGCATGGAATGGAGAGAGTTGCTCATGTACTTTCTGTCAATAAACCTGCATTATAGTTTAGCTCCATCTTCAGTTTTGTTTCTTGCCTGCTTTCTTTTGTTTTGCTGCTTACTTACATGTATCTGTTTATTTCACATTTGGCTTAAATTTTGTTAATATTCTCAACATAAATGATTATGTACATGTATTATTTTTCCAGTATGCTTGAATTTTTGTTTGCTTATTGTCAGCTTTTTGCGAAGTTTGCTTATTGAGGAGGCTGCTGATCACTTCTTACAAATTTTGTATTGGGGATTTTTATTTATAAAACCTAATTGTGATCCTTTTCATTTTCAATATCATATTTCCTTTCTTTTATAGCAGTCCAGGCTAGGCCTGGGTCAAGATCAGCAGTATCCACCCACTTTTAATGTAATCTTATTTTATGTATGTGCTAATATATTCCGCATTTTATCTAGATATATATCTTTTTATTCACTTATGATACAGTATAGAACTTTTAAGCATATCATTAGCATATCATTACTATTTATTAATTATTATTATTTTATTTTAAATTATAACATTTAATGTCTACATCCCATATTATAGTAATTTAACTTATCTTTTACCATTTGTCTTTCAAAGTTTAATATCTTAATGTGCTTCTTTTATGAGTTTTATGTTTATATCATTATGCATGTATGTCGGTCAAAAGCTATACATAGCTTATGTTTTGTAAAATGTTATATATATACCGACAATAAATAAATTTTGATTTGATTTGATTTTTGATTTGTATTAGTTTATCACAAACCTTTGCACTGGCTAATAAGGCATGAGCGGGCATCTTTGATGTCACATAAGCTAGCTGGATAGCCTCCTCTTAAATAGGAATTCAAATTCCTCGATGGGATTCGAGTCAACCGCACTGAGGTGCACGAGCTTTGAAAATGTAAAAAAAAAAAAAAAAAAAACCATTATAATACGACCACGTAAATCAATGATATTATTCATACATTGTCTCATATAAACATTATTGTAATACAAGCATTTATAAGCAAAATATGTGGATTCTCTTCTGAAAACCTTTTATTTGACTTACAGGGTCAAAACAAACATTATCATTCAATAAGCAGGATCCGTAAAAACATGCTATAATTTATTTTCTCATGTACCATGTGTCTCTCGTTGTCAATTCTAAAATATTTCTAATATAACTGTTTCGGTAGACTTCCTTTTAGAATTGATATTTTATTTCATTTAAAGGCTAAGCACATTCCTTATCACCTCCAAACACTTGAGGTAGTTGATAAAACTGAACCTGGCGATTGTCAAATATGAACTCTATGAATTATTGTGTATCTTTCGTAATAACAACTTTTTAAAAGCTTTATTAGTCCTAACATTTATATGTTATTTAAGAAATATTGAACATGAAATAATCTTACCATTTAAATCTAAGCCGGTGTGTCTTCGAAAATAATTCTTTTATGGATTCTTTTGCAAAGTGCTCACTTTTGTTTACGTTTTTAATCCTTGAAGTAACACGGAAAACTCATACGCCTTTATAGAATAATTATTTTGGGAAGTACAGTGTCTAATATAGGAAATATTTTTTACTGCTACTGACAATATTGTGCTCGTATTTTATATAAATAGATCTAACAATTACTAATGTTTTTTCAAGATATTTGTCTATTTTTATTTGTGGTTGTATATGATAGAGTAATTTATCGTAATGAGTATGTCTAGACATCGTTCATTTACACAATATCCCTAAATTAAGTGGCAAAGAAAGTTTCCATCGATTACAAATTTACGATATCTGATATGTTGATATTTATGTGACGAAAGTTTATTGGTAAATTGCCGACGTTTTATTTAATTTTAATGATTTATAAGGATTAATCAACACTTGGTAAATAAATCGCGCAGGAATATATACTTACACACTACTCGTATAAACTTTTCAAATAAATGAATAACATTTCATGAACTTACTCTCTTGTCCATTACTTAATTATTGTGAAACACATGTTTTACATTTCTACAAAATTTTATAAAAAACAATGATTTTAAGCCATAATCTAACTACTTATATACCTAATTTATCAGTTCGCGTCAAAAGGTAATTCGTTTCTTATCAAACGGTAATCGTTTAAAAGGGGTTGCCTAATTTTTGTGTCGCCTCTACGGAGTAGTGGCGACATATAGGGATCACTTCTCCGTCGTCTGTCTGTCCGTCTGTCTGTCTGTCTGTCTGTCCGTCCGTCACAAAACTTGTCCGGACTACTCCTCATAAACTACTGGTTCAATTTCATCCAAACTTTACAGGAATAATCAGTACCAAGTCTAGTTGTGCATATTGTCAGCATTTTCCGGTTCAATGATTTTTGTCAGAGTTATGGCCCTTTAATAATTTTTAATTTTAAAGTTTGTCCGGACTACTTCTCTTATACCACTAATGCAATTTCAATGAAACTTTACAGGATTGATCTGTAGCTCAAGTCCTTGCGCATACTGCAAGGGTTTTCCGGTTGAATGATTTTTGGCCGAGTTATGGCCCTTTGATAAAAATGTTTCTTTTTCTGTGTTTTGCCAGATACACAAAAGTTGTCCGGACTCATCTTTATAAACTACTGGTGCAATTTCATCCAAATTTTACAGGAATGATCAGTACCAAGTCTAGTTGTGCATATTGTCAGCATTTTCCGGTTCAATGATTTTTGTTTGAGTTATGGCCCTTTAATAATTTATATTTTTAAAGTTTGTCCGGACTACTTCTCTTATACCACTAATGCAATTTCAATGAAACTTTACAGGATTGATCTGTAGCTCAAGTCCTTGCGCATATTGCAGGGGTTTTTCAGTTGAATGATTTTCGGCTGAGTTATGGCCCTTTCATAAAAAAGTGTTTTTTTTTCTGTGTGTTGACAGATACGCAAAAGTTTGTCCGGACTACTGCTCATAAACTACTGGTGCAATTTTATCCAAACTTTACAGGAATGATCAGTTCCAAGTCTAGTTGTGCACTGTCCGTCTGTCTGTCTGTCTGTCACAAAATTTGTCCCAACATGAAATTGGCCATCATGAGGCGACACATGTGATTTCTGATCGCTCTTGTTTGTAATTATTTTTCTGTCAATTCTTTTGACAACTCAGGCAGTAACTGATGTCTTTTGAGAGTGGTCAGTGAAATATGTAACAGGTTAATTTATTTCTATAATAATATTTCATACGTAAAGTGGCTAGAGAGTTCTCCTTATTGATGACAAAAACCGCATTTCATTTTACTTTAATAATGGAAGACTACTTCCGCAAATCAACTAAATAAGAGGAGTTATCAATACTTGTTTGATTTATGTGAGTGGTAAAAGGCACATTTATGTCACATTAAAAGCCCTAGGACTATAGTAAGCTCTTGGAATGCTGCAATCTTTGCAATCTCCACCTATTTACTATCGTTATCTTTGCTCTCGTGGAATCTGTTATTTGGGGTTAAATATTTTGTCCCGCACTTTATCTGGCTATTTTAAATTTTTATTTATTTTTCATTAATTTTGGTGTTCCACATAAGTTGATGCTAGGGCACATGATAGATGATGCTTTTATAGAGACATTCAATCAAACCCAATCTGCGAATTACACCCCTTATTAATTGTATTGCACCCAACTTTCCAGATATTCATACGTCACAAGAAGGAACAAGTAGAAAAATTTAACATATTGATATGTTTTTATCAATCAGCTGGTTTTGACTATGTGTATCTTGACTTTATGATATATATATTTCAAGCGTTTGATTCCCTTCGTTAAATCCCGAAAAAGGACACATTTCTTCTGAGAATTTGCTTTACACTTGGTCACAAAAATGTTTGATGGAGTCATTAATCTTTATTATTGAATTTTTTACTTACATCGTGTCTTTAAAGTATTTGCGCAATGTGAGCTTCAATGTATTTAGGATAGCATGCTAATTCAAGTTTAGCCCTTCTTATGTTAGAGTGTAATTAATTTCCTGTCTATTCAAAGTACAACTTCTAAAATCGTTCTTGCTACATTTATTGTTATTTATGGTAGTGGATGACATTTGACAATGAATATCTACAGTGTGTATTGCATGTTATAAAATTTTATAAGCAAATATTGACTGATCTATTTTTTATTTTCTATTAATTTCATAATGAAACTTATGTTTTCTTTTTGTCTATATTTCTTTCTTTGTTTGCTTGTTTGTTACAAAAACATTTTACGCATCTTTGTTTGTTGTAAATATGGTAGTTTTTTATTTGAGCAAGTAGTTGATAAAGGAAACACATGATAGTTTAAATGATTTTATGGTATGTTGTTTGTTTGGTTGTTGTTTTCTTGTTGTTTTTTTTTTTTTTTTTTTTGGGGGGGGGGGTGTTGTTGTTTTCCCGTCAATTCTAACTCATTTTTTATTTCCAGGGACCTTTCGGTAACAGAAGTCTTCTGAAATTCCCTGTATAGCATGATCTCAAAAAATGTTTGATGGAGTCATTAATCTTTATAATTGAATCAAGCAATCGTTCACTTGCACCGTGTCCCTAAAATAATTGCAGGAAGTCAGCTTAAATGTATTAAGGATAGCACGTTAATAAAAGTTTGGTCCGTCTCATGTCTGAGTTTAATGAATTTCCTTTTTATTCTTAAATCGTGTTAGCTACATTGATTGTTCTTGTTGAAATATAACAATATTTACAGTCTGCAGTGAGCAAATATTTGCTGAAATGTGGACTTTTTTCTCTCAGTCTTTTCGTTAAATTTCGTTATTAATTTAAGAGTTTTCTTTCTTTCATTTTTTCTTTGTATGCTTGTTTGTTTGACAAATCTTTTTACGCATCCATGTTTGTTGATGTCATGGATTTTTTTAGTTGAGCAAGTATTTTTATAAAGGATATACAAGATAATTTATATAGTACAATATACTTGATTTTGATTATTTTATAATTAGGGATGGCAACGAATACCAAAATCAATACTTGAGTACTCGGTCATTTATCCGATCGAGTACTCGGTTACTCGGATCATTTCCAATGATATTTAAAGTTTTATCACACAATATCAACACCATCTGCATGCTACTTTCGTTTTCAATTTTAATTCATAGAATTCGTAACTATAAATAGGACTGCAAGAAATGCATATATAAATTTAAACATAAGAAATGTCATTGACAGCATTTATTATATACTTTGTACCTACAAATGTTCTCCCTAGAATACAGGATGAACTTGAAGCACAAATACGCTTCAACGGATAGAAAAGTCCTTATTTTGACAAATACGGTACCATATATGGAAGTGCCGGGGTATTTTTGACGTTGGTTCCGATCTTAGCTGTGTATAAACGTAGCATTTGGAAACGGACACCAAAATTATAAAAAAAGGCGTGGCGGGTTTTGCAAAATCTACGTATTCACCCGTCGGTCATAGATTTGTTTTTTGAGGGCTAAATTTAATTTTCTGAAATTTCTAATAGAAGTGTAGTATAATGAAAATCATTTATAATTCAAAAGAAAAGGTATATAATAAAAGGAAAATTAGGTTATAGTAGCTTTCTGAGCCTATGCATTTTTCTACTCGCAATGTAGGAAAATTGATATTTCGCTCGACCTTCGGTCTCACGAGATATTTTCAGCGCTGCCCGGTGCAAAATACAAAGCTTCAACATAATATTCTGTATATATATTTACGTTTTTATAATTAACAAGTTTCAGCTTCAAACTGTCTAATATTTAAAGGTTATTAAATATCATA